ACCAGACTCCTCCTCCGAGTCACGTGTCTTGAGAAGCGTGGGACCCCAGCCGATTCGCCAAAACAGATATGAGAGAACAAATAATAACCGCCCTAACCTAAAGCACCTAACGCAGGCTACAGCTAGAAAGGTCGCTTGGAATAAAACTATCAAACATGAGACCATCATCTCACCAACTAGCAATGGCAACCTATCCTATTAACACTCATGTCGATTGAACCTGACTCAGTCGGTGTGCAGGAGACCCAAGTGTAACCAATCAAATTAATGTACAGCCGCCCCGTTACCAAATAACAAGTTTTACGATAAGCTCAATGCCAAGTGGAAGAATGTGATGACGGGAGCAAATACCGTGACCACACAATACAAGAAAGGCATAGTTCCGACAGATTATCGTCGGAGGATAGATAAGCACCATGTTTGTACATTAAGTTCATCCACTTCAAAGCTTTCCAAACCCTCCGCTACGCATCGGAGCGTTGAAGTTCGCAGCCGCCTGATATTGAAGCTGGTAGGCCAGCGGATGAATCTTGAAGCCGTAAAGTCTAGCAGAGAATGGACAGCATAAGTTCAAACAAGCTTGCTTTAACCAAGTTTCGCCAAACAAATGCTTTGCCACCTAGTATGCCTAATCACATGCTATATGCTGAAACCCGGTGAAACATGGTACATATGACTCCGATGAGAAAACACTACTAGAGATAGGGATGAAAGGAATCGATAAGGGACTAAAATAGTCACTCAAAACACCACCATACCTAGCGACAAACTGCTTCGGAGCCCGCTTAGGTCGATACTCGGGATGGACGGCGAAAAGCATATGAGGAAAACCGGTTCCAAAATAGGCGCCGTCAGTATGGTGATGTCTTGTCGACTTCGGGGTGTACACATCCTGACAACGCGGACAGTAGATTTTCACCATCGCCTCACCAGGAATGTCCGAAAGACCGATGGGCAGACAAGGTTGATTATCGCAGTAAACCTACGAGAGCAAGTCTCCGTTAAAAGGAGCACGAATAGATCGAAAACATAAGGATAAAACTTACACGAGGGCAATATCCAAAGTCGCCCTGAAGCCATTTGTCACCCATCATCATGAGGCCTCGGTTGGTGAGTATGTATCGCGCGTGAATGAGGCCGTAGAGCATCTCGGCAGCCTGTTCAATAATATCTGGTTCATTCGCATCGTTAGGCATTTCATCTACTAAGAAATCAAGAATTGAGTCTGGAAATCTAACCCAAAACCAAACAGCCAAGACCAGTTCCAAACAGGAAATAAAGACAACCTACAACGAATGGAAAGTTAACTGCTCTTTTGATGCATGAACGGATAAGTTCAATAAGATGAGGACACGAAAATACCAAAAGGATGTTCTTCAAATTGACTTAAATTTTAAATGAACTAACATATGGAAAAAGACGTACCGGGTTCCAGATCCAATATCATGTCAAGAGCGGCACGAAAATTTGGCACTTGTTCGGAGAGCCCGGTAAGATTAAACCTATCCTGAATATACTCCTCATCAACCTCACAGAAAAACTCGTTTCCTCGCAGACCACAGAACCAAAGAATCCACGACACCTCCTCGCTACTGCTCATTCTAGACTGCGAAGTAAACGACGCGGTCGATGTGTCGGACTGGTTAATAATGTCTGGTAAAAATGTATACAGTCTAAAATCAAGAACATCGGTGATGAGAAATCAAGACGGCAGAAACGCGAGACGACCGCAACGTAAGATCTTCGTTGGGCTAACAGCAAGAGGATTACCTACCAAATGCTACGACAGCAATGAGCGCACAAAATTCAAAAGGAGAGGCTAGAACAAATGAACAAGCACACGCTTTATCAAAGAGTATCAACTGCCACTGTGCAATCATCAAAAGGGGCGTATGAGTAATGATACTACGTGAGCATCACCGACCGAGGCCTAGAATCACCCAGCTTTCAAGATGCTTACCGCCACTACGATGGAAGATCAAACAGACAATCAAAACAAAATTGTCTAAAATTTGAAGTACAGTGATGATGTAAGTTCATAGCCACAAGGACAGCGTACACACTTCAACAGTTGCTATCAGTACTATGTGAAATCTTGACAAAGAATGGCAAGAATTTCGACGTAAATAAAAAACAATAAAGTACCCAGAGAGCTTGCTGCCATACAATATTCGCACACCATAAAAACAGTTTTTGAATGCTATATTTATGTGACAATCAAAAGGTTTAGTGCTTATGTTGGCCTTTATAGGAGGGAGGTGGGAAACAAATGAGACGTGAATCTCGTGCGTGAGGAACTTAAGCCATCCTCTTCCGGGTGATATCTGCTATTTGACTCATCTGTACTCCTATTCCCGTTCTTCCTGTGTTCAATGCCTAGTAAATCTACTGCAATTAACCCTTTCTTTAAGTCCGAGGTTCAAGGGAATGAGGGTAGGCGGGCAATTCGTGCAGTCACTTTAGGATTTGTCCGGCCCTCATACTCGTGGGCTGGCATTCGTACCATGCTTAGGTCTAGTTGCTTTGTCTTCCTTGAAATACATGCATCCAGCCTTCTTTGACCGTATGGAAATTCTCAGGACGTTACACTGATGGCAACGCAACGCGACCCGGACATTTCTCCATTGGCTTCTATCCTATCACGTGCCATTTGTTGCATACCTACAAAAGGATTGAGACTGATGCCCGCTTTTGGCTACAACTTATTCCCATTGTAGGAACTGCCTGCCTATTCTCATGCCCTTGAATTACGGACATCGAGAGAGGGTTAGTTGCAGTTAATCTATTAAGCATTAGTTACAGGAAGAATGAAGTGTAGGAGAAACGATGAGTCGAACAGCCAATATCACCCATCGAGAGATTCGCGATTCCAAATTACATCTCACTAGAGTATAAATTGCACCCATTTTCCACAGATAAGTTATTTGCAACTTAAATGACATCACTGCAAACCATCTGGTGAAGTTCCGGTTCTCCTAACATACGGGACAGTGGTGTAATGCTTTGTTTATGTGACCACCTGACGTTTGGCAGTCACTTTAGAATTTATCTGGACCCTGTACACGTGGGCTGGCCTTCGGGCCACGCTCGGCCTTATTTCTCCTGTTGCCTTCGGAATAAATGTATTCAACTTCCCTTTTGCCTTCTACTACACCATTGGAAGCTTCGGAAAGCTACAAGTGGTCTATTCCGTTTCTCCTGTAATATATATGATCTAGACCAGAGTTCAACCGTCTATTCCCGGTAGCAATTGACGATCAACGGGTGTATGCAGCTCCAAGTCTGGTTGTCAGACCGAACGTACCTCCCGAGCCAGTTGAAGCTGTCGAGGAGACCAAGTCCCCTTTCTCGGTCCCATGCTGTCTATCGACTGGCACGGTTGGTTCGTGGATGCTTTCTTGTAGTACCGAATATGTTGTGATGGCTGGTGTGGAAGGTGTACCAAGGGGAGCGCCGAGGACGTCACTCAAAAGAAAAGAGGGACAGTGTAGTGCTTTGTATATGTGACCACATGACGTTTGGCAGTCACTTTAGAATTTGTTTGGCCCTTGTATTCGTGGGCTGGCCTTCGGGCCATGCTCAGGTCCGTTTGTTTTTTCTCTTTGAAATATATCTATCCAGCCTCACTTACTGCCTTCTTTCACTCTATGGAAAACCTCGGACGTTGTGCTAATATTAAAGAAATATAAGCATAACACATTGCATGAAATTACTGCTTCTAAATTTCATTAAACTGTATCCTCTATGTTGTTCTACTACTTAAATGCAAATTTAACCAAATACTTTTGATAGCTGCGTTTTTGAATTATACAAAAATGGTTACATAATAAAGTATGTTTATCGACGCCAATTTACCCTCACATTAATATAAGCAATCTAGAATAACTTGAGTTTGTTTAGTTGTGCTTACTTTAAATATCAGTGTAATTTCGTGTCTTGTCTCGCTTCGGCTGTTGCTTGGCATGGTGAGCCTGTACGCAGTCATTTTTGTTGCATAGTCTAGTTTTGTTTTTAAAAACAATGTTTGTATCTCATTTTAGGCAGACAGTGTTCTCGTTAGGACTCGGAAGTTTATGTCCAATAGACTTCTTTCTAGAAAGCAAATGATATTGGATGTCTTCCATCCCGGACAACCTGTCCTGTCCAAGAAGGAAATTCGGGAACGTCTAGCTAAAAAGTACAAGACTACACCTGACGTCGTGTTCGCCTTTGGATTTCGCACTAAATTTGGCGGTGGGAGGTCTTCTGGTTTTGTTAATATTTATGACTCCCTTGACTATGCAAAGCGATATGAGCCTAAATTTCGTCAAGCGCGGGTATGCTCGGAACCCATTTTTATTGGTCGTTTTTAGAATGGTCTCATATCTATTGAAAAAGGATCGCGTAAACAACGAAAAGAAAAGAAGAATAAGTTAAAGAGGATTCGTGGTACGGCGAAGGCTGACGATGTTGAAAAGAAGAAGAAGAAGAAGAAATAGTCATAAGGTTCTGTGAATAAACTCTTGGATAGAACCCTCCCTGTGTCTGCTAATGCATCGCTTTATCTTGTGAGCCATGTATAAGTCTAGTCTGTGCCAATTACATTTGTTAGTGGGTCGCCATGTGTCTGGTTTATTAATTGTGGTGACATCGCACTGCGATGCTCTATCTTCCCCTTTGCTGGCATTTGTGGCGATAGTTATGGTCACTACTGCGATATGCTCGTGTTTCCATGCTGTTTCATTTTTGCCAGTGTCAAAAGTTGTACTTCATGACTGTAGGTTCCCTCTTCGTTTCCCCTAGGGTCTAGGCGTGATAGCTGTGACGGTACCTCAGGATTGGTTTCGGCGTGATTTAAGCTTGATTGATAACTGCTGATTGCTGTCCGGTGTTCCTTTCTAGGAGTGGTGAACCGGCGCTCATGCTGCTGTGGCTGACTAATCGATTCATGATCGAATCCAGCACATCGGAGCCGGTCTCCGAAGTCCACTATTGCAGTCCGGCAGGCGTCTCTAGGGTACCATTCACAAAGAGGTTGGGAGATTGAGTCGCTAGGACTTGGTTGTCGAAGTGCTGCCTCTAAACCAAACCTGGAGTAAAACGATGTAGGGGGTGCTCGGGCTAGGTCGTGATGGTCCTCTACGGCACACCATAACGTTTTCAGTTCATTTAGTCGTAACGTAGAACATCCAACTTGTCTCAGTATGTCTGCTGTTTAGGCTGACAGTGACGACTGGGAAGCTGCTATCAGACTTCTAAATCCGAAATATCAAATAACATCTGCGTGTGATTCGTCGGGGCGGCGCTTTTCCGCGCAGCGGACAATGATATTAACAGAAGTCCAAGGCAGAACCGTTGTAGGGCAGTCGCATCAAAAAACCGGGAGCAGATAACTAGAACGCTGGAATTTTGATCAACAAACAACCGATCACAAGTGAGGACGCACCTCCTACTCAGTAAAAAACACAGAGAATGCAAATAAGGGTATTTATTTAACTATTCTTAATGATCGAGGTTCCGCCAAAGCCACTCTCTCAATGGCTCCAACCTCAATCTTTTGCTTCAGTACATTCTCTAAATTCCTCTTCAGATTCAAATCGGCCCTTTGCTTCCTGACTGGTATATTCTTCCGACCTTTCTTCATCTTACCCTTGGTCTTCCTTATTGAACCACCTGATTTCATATGTTTTATTATGTTTGTTCCATGATTTTTAAACTTCATCTTCCCTTGCGACATCTCCTCGTGTGCCTCCCTCAATAGACTTTCTCCGATTTGCACGAACGACTCCTGATTTATTTAAAGAACCGCTCCGCGATGAGTTAAATTAAATTATCCGGTTTGGATACCGAAAAAGTAAAATAGAAGGCCAATTTATTAATTCGAAATACATTATTGCGGGCCTGAATTAAATGTAAACGTATTTGTGATATTATGGTTGGTGACCATCTGATGTCTGACAGTTACTTTATGATTCGTCTGACTCTTGTACGTGGTCCCTTTTCTCCCCTA